AAAACCAGCTAAGCTGCTTGTTTTCTAATAAAAAATTAATAAAACTTTTCTTAACAAATAAAATCGTACTTATCTATTAGAGCCGTAAAGCTCATCTTTGCCAAATGGATCAACTACTCCTTAATCATATAATGCTTATAATTCATCATCATTCAAGATATCTACTCTAACTTCATCAATTACAGGTTAAGCACTTATATTCTATTCAGAAGCTGTTGTTTTTTAAGAGTTTTGCTTTAATTTACTGTTCATCTATGTAACCTTTTTAAATAGAAAATATTTAACCATTTTAATCTTGAATGTCTATTTACTTCATTATTCAATTTAACTAAAGTGTTTTCATCTTCTGAAGATGTAAGGAGTTTTTTAAAATTTGATAACCTTTCTGCAATTGAGCATTTGCTAGAAAAGAGATTGTTAGTATCTACAATTCTCCAATAATTAGAGCACTCTTGAGATAAGTTTTATTGTAAAGATTTTTATGTTAACATTTCTTTACGCTCCTCTTCTTCAGCCTTTTACTCATTAGGTTGATGTGATTCAAGCATAAGCATCATATTTGAATCCATATAAAGGTTATTTATAAGTAATCCACTTGCACCCTACTCGTCAAATTTAGCAGAAGTTTTTTTAAAGAGTGGATCAACATCAAATTCTATGTCGTATGTAACAACATCTAAATTATCAGGATTTTTTTCAAGTGTTTTGGCACCATATTAGTCATTGGTTTGTCTTTAAATAGCTTTAGATAATATTTTTGCTAAATCTAAGTTTTCTTTTATCTTTTTTGATGGATCAACTTTTTTGATAATAAAAATAAATAATGATAATATGTATATTTATTCTCATAATATGCTTCTTTTAAGAGCTTTCTTTGTTTTAAGTCATTTATTTGTAAGTAAGTAAGTAAAGCATTTCAAATTTATTGATAAAAATATATCATAAATATTAACCCCTTTTTCAAATTATTTTTATCAGTTAATCTACATAAAATAAATTTAAATATATCTTTAGTAAATTTTATTCTGCAGTAAGAAAAGATGAAGATTATCACATAGGCATATATTTACACAGAAGTAGAGTAGGAAGGTAAAATAAAATACGTGTCTAAAATATATACTCTACCCTTTGTTAGATATTATTTGCTAGCTCCTTATTAAATACTAAAAAAATTTATACCTTCTTCTTCCGGATCTTAGATCTCGGAACGGATAAGGTTTCCCAAAATTCTATAGGTATCTTTATGAGTCTTTTCTACCTTAATGCCCCAAACTTTACTAATAGTATCTAAGAAATTAGCAGAGCTCTACCAATCTAAATCTGCTAATTTAGTTTTTTCATCCCATTAAATATCGAAGACATTGTCTACCTTAATTTTCTATTTATTTTAGAAAGTAAATTAAAATGTATTTCTTAAAACAACTATTTGTCTATTGATTCTGTCATGTTTATGCATTTAAATGCTATTTTAACATTTGAATGCTTTTATTTTTCTACTTTAAAAGTAGATTAAATATTTTATTTAATGGTTTTTTATCTATTCTCTAAATTTTTACGTTTTTTAATAGCTATCTATAAACACGCTATAACTTTTCAGCAGCTCCATTACTTGCATCTTGCGAATCTATGAAATCTATTTCTTCATCTTCTTCGTCATCATCTATTTCGTTTGAAATTTTGCGTGAATTTTTATTTTGCAATTTTAATTTATTTCCAGCTGCTATATTTAACACATTTTCTTCATGAGTTACTAAATCGTTTATTTCTTCCTCTATCACATCTTTGTAGTTATTTTCTGTTTTACGCCTTGGCTGACGATTCATTTCAGTTAATTTTCTATAATTCTAATATTTCTAATCGTATTACTTAAAATGGGAATTAAACACTTAAGAATATTTATAATTAGATCTATAGTTATTCTTATTATTTATTATTTAAAGATAATCCTTAACTTTTGAAAGATTCACTTTTTTCTTTAATAATTATTAGATAAATCAGATAAACTGATTTAACAATTTATCTTTTTAAATAAAATAGAGTGGAGGGTAAATCAATCAGGATGCATTCATTAATTTGCATTCATTTTATTTTTTTATTCAGAAGCTATCTTAATTCAATCAAAAATGATTAAAAAAAAACAACAAATCTCTTTTATTTATGTTCATTTATTAAAACTTAATAAATAAATAAAATTCTCATATCCATTATTTTCAGTAATTAAATTATGATAACTACCAGATTCATCTCCTATTTTAAACATAAAATATTTATTAAAATAAAAATGTTTTTATTAAAATATTTTTATTAAAAATATAAAATTGATGAAGAGTTTAATTGAAAATTAAAATTATTTATAATTTAATAATTATTTTAAAAGTTATGATAAACATTTAAAATAAATAATAATAATACTAAGTACTATTAAATTTAAAAATAAAAATTGATGAAGAGTAAAATTGAAAATTAAAATTATTTATAATTTAATAATTATTATTAAAATTATTATCTTAAAATTTATGATAAATATTTAAAATTAATTATAATAATACTAAGTACTATAAATTTAAAAATAAAAATTGATGAAGAGTAAAATTGAAAATTAAAATTATTTATAATTTAATAATTATTATTAAAATTATTATCTTAAAATTTATGATAAATATTTAAAATTAATTATAATACTAATTACTATAAAAGTTAAAAATAAAAATTGATGAAGAGTAAAATTGAAAATTAAAATTATTATCTTAAAATTTATGATAAATATTTAAAATTAATTATAATACTAATTACTATAAAAGTTAAAAATAAAAATTGATGAAGAGTAAAATTGAAAATTAAAATTATTATCTTAAAATTTATGATAAATATTTAAAATTATTTATAATAATAAGTATTATAAAATTTAAAAATAAAAATTGATGAAGAGATTAATTGAAAATTAAAATTATATGATATTAAATAATTATTATTAAAATTATTATCTTAAAATTGATGATGCATATTTAAAATGAACTATAGCATTAAGTGTTATAAAATTTAAAAATAAAAATTGGCTAAGAGTTTAATTGAATATTAAAATCATTTACAATCTAATAGTTATTATTAAAATAATTATCTTAAAATTTATGATACATATTTAAAATGAATTATAATACTAAATATTATTATATGAAAGCTAAAAGGAATACAAGTAAACATTAATTATTTAATTAAATCTGACATACAAATAAATATTCATCAGATGGTTTGAAGCACCTTTTTACCAAGAAGAGAAGGAATGTGTTCCATCTTAAGTGTAAAAGAGCCAAATTTATTAATTTCAATGCTGCTTGTTGGATTTAATTACTAATCAGAACTAGGAGCTGTCTCTTTATCATTGAAGTCTGATTGGCTTACTATAGACCCATTTTGTTTAGATTTTTTATCTTCTGCTTCAGAAAGACCAAATATTTTATCAATTGCTTATTTGAGAGGTTTTAGTTCTGTATAAATTTCATTTAAAAGATCTATTCTATTAAATTTATACTTAAGGAAACTTATTTAGCTAATTTTTTAAAATGATTTGTTGAATTCTGGATCTCCATTGATATCAATAATTATTTTAGCAATTTTTTATATGATTAAGTCTTTTTCATCACGTTAAACAGTATTGCTTTCGTAGAATGCTACCTTTAAAGCTATTTTAAGCAATTCACTTAAAAAGTAAGCCAAGTGTAATTTTTTCTTTTTTAAATTATCTATTTAAATTAAATCCTATTCTCCATCATAATTTTTTACAAAAATAAGTGAGATATCATTTAACCTACGACGGAAAGTTTAAAGATTATCAGCAATTATGTTGCTCATTCTTTTAACAACTTAACGAGAGGTATTTGCTGCTAGTGAAGTATTTGCAGCAGCATTTTCTCCTCCAAGAATGAACTTAAAGTATTTCTATACTAAATCATTATCTATCAAATCGCTCTTAACTAGCTGACTGTATTAATCCAACCAATATTTTTCATATATGAACCCTATCAAATATGATAATGAGCGCTGCACTAAAAGGAGACTTGGAAGCTACTTGTGGGTTAAGGCATGACGAACTTCAGATATAAAATCGTGTTCCTTCATACCTATTTCTCCTAACATATTATTTATGGATTTAACATTTTTTTTTTAGCACATATCAGCCATTTAACTTGAAAATCTAACAATATCTAATCCGACCTAGCGAATGATTTAACTCTCTTCTGATTAACTTAACTTCTTAATAACTGTTAAAGAAACTTCACCAATAGACTAATAGTGTTGTAAAAAATCAGCAGTATATCCTAAAGATAAGTTATTTTTGTATTTATCTCTTTTTAATACTGCTTACAAATATTCTAATCCTTTTATGTAGCTTGCTTTATTAATAACATCCTCTCCATATACTCCTAAGGAGGTTTACTTTTTAAAAAGAGTATGGAAGATAGCTGTCCACTCTTCCCAACATGTAACTGGCATAACAGAAAGGTCACTCATCTTAAATTATCAAAATTTATTTTTCAATTAACTAACTAACAATGCTAAAATTAATATATTTCTACTACAAATAGATTGATTGATTCTGTGCTAAAGTTTTTAATTTATGAATCTACTCTAATATGAATATATTTATTTATATATCTTTCCTACTTCTACAACTTATGAATCTAAGAATATATTTATTTATTTGCTTGTTTAGTTGTTAATTAATTTATTTATTTCACTGCGAATAATCAAAACAAAAAATTAGATTATTTTCATTTGTAAATTGCATTCATTAAAGAAGAGTGTATGTATATATTATTAATTGATATATCTTTTGCAATTAACAAGTTAAGACTATCCATTAAATTTGGTTATTTTTAAATTAGCTCAAAGTTCAAAGTAATTAATTTTCTTAACATCTTAGTTTTAATTCTTTTAATTAAAATTTTATTTTATTTAAATTAATTTTATTTTAAAATGACTGAAATTTCTAATTAAAATAAAATGTTTTTAATAGCTTTTTTGGATTTTTTTCAGAAGATTTTTTTATTTTAATAATCTTTTAAAAGTATTTATTATTAAAAATAGAAAATAGAGATTAATTAAAGATAATAAATTCATTAAATAATTTACAAAAATTCTAGAAAAATTTATTATTTTTCTAAAAATAAATAATTATATATTATATAATTAATTATGATCTAATTTATTAAGCAGTATTTGACTCGAACAGAAAAAATATCTATTCTTAATTTATAATAAAACTCTATTATGTTTTAAAGCTGGTAGTATTGAATTTCTTTTAGGTTTATTTATAATGGATCAATATTGAGAATTTATATTTTTAGCTGCCATTAAGACAACAATTAAAGCTAATAATTTAGAAAATTAATGAGTAAGGTGAAATTACATTAATGAAATAAAAATCGAAGTAGAATTATTTGCAATAAATAATAAAAATAATGAGAAAAATAATATATTTAATTATATTTTTAATTATAAATGAAAAAAATAAAGAACAATTAGGTTTGATTGATTGATTATTATTTTTAGTAAACTTTAGTTTAATTTGCTTCAGTAATGTATGACAAATAAGATTTATGATAGCCATTACTAATCGATTTTTTATAATAAAAGTAAATGTAATTAATATTCTTATTTTGTTTCACATATTTAGAAATCATAATTAATACACTAAAAACAATCGAAATTAATTATTTATAACAATAATTCCGCAAACCAAGCTCTTCAATAATCAAATAAGCCTAAATTTAAAATGAACTAATCTAGGTATGCCTCACTAAGAAACAATAACTAGCGCTAACCAATTTAAATTGAAGTTATTCCAAGTAATTACTTGTATTGCGATTACATATTTTATTTTTTTTACTGTTAATAATAATTAGATAAACTATATTGGATTAGCTCGTTAATTGTAAACAAGAGAGATGATAATTCTTATTCTATATGCACTGATTATGTAAATAAAAACATTTTTCTATTTTTTTAACAAAAGCAATATTTCTTTTATCTAATTTACTAAAAATTTAAAAAAATTATCAGGATTACGTATACTCTCCTTTCTTTAAAGACTTTGGTCCGATTCACCTTGGCCTAATCCATAAATATATAATCACTCTTGATAAGCTTCTTTCTGATCCAAATCTGAATAATCTAAAGATCATTCATAACACAACTCTTGATTTAACTAAAAAAACTTCTTCTGCCTTCCTCATGGGCTGCTACATGGTAACTAATTTTAAAAAATTTAGTTTTTAGTTTTTTTATCTTGCAATAAAAATATCAAGTAAAAAAAATATGGACAATTAATCAAATCTTGATTTAAATTAAATAGGTAATAAAATTAAATATGTCACCAGAAGATGCATGGTATAAGTTTTAAAGCGCTGGTTAATTTCGCCCTTACAGAGATCCTGCAAACAATACATGCTATGAATAAAGAGTAAAAATAAACTTAATATAAATAATTTAGTTGATTTAATATATTAGCAATAATGTTTTAAAACATAAAATTTAACAAATGTATTAAAATTATTGTTTATTCATACAATTAATTTACAAATTTTTTTAAATAAAAAGTTAATTGATTGCTGGAAAGGTTTAAAGAAAGCCAATTCTCTTGGATGGTATAATCCAGATACTTTTGATGTTAAATATTATAATCATCATAGCAAACCTGAAAATGGAAATTTTAATATCATAGCTCCTTCCAAATTTGTTGCTTTTAATGGACCTTATTTTACTAGAATAGATTTAAGAGGAGTAAAATTCAAATTGATTTAGGATTATATTAATTTTTTTTTTTGAAATTTTTAGTATAGACGCAACGTTGTTGAAGATTATATAGAACCATTTAGATCTCTTGGAGTTACAACTATTGTGAGACTTAATTCTAAGGATTATGATGAAAAAAAATTCATAAGTAAAGGATTTAGGCATCTAGATTATTTTTTCCCTGATGGAACTGCCCCTAGAAAAGTAAATATTTTAAAACCTTATTTGATTATAATATAAATATTTTATTATAAATTTAGGATTTAATTCAAAAATTCTTAAATTAAATTGAGAGTATTGACGGAGTTATTGCAGTTCATTGCCATGTATTTATTTTTATCTAAGAAAATTCATTTTAATTTTAAATATTATTTTTTAATTAGGCTGGGCTAGGCAGAACAGCAACAATGATTGGAGCATATGTTATTAAGCATCATAAATTTACAGCAGATGAATTTATAGCTTGGGTTAGAATTTGCCGTCCTGGTAGCGTACATGGGCCTTAGTAGCTATTATTAAAGGTACTAAACTATTAATTAATTAAATAAGATAAATTAGAAATATATAATAATTTTAATTTTGTCATTTAAAATAATTGCTTATGTTAAAATTAAACAAAAAATATAATTGAATATAAATTTTTATACCTAAAAAAAAAGGAAATAGAGCTAGATCTACTAAACGAAAGAACTCTTACAGGAGGAAATTCTTATAATGTAGCACCAAAAAATATATATACATCGAAAAATTAAAATTAAATTAGAAGTAACTCTCTTACTAATGTTGGAGTATAAAATTAATAAAAAAAAACATCTCCTTTGCAATAGAGTAGAAATTTATCTTTACCTTAAGGGTAATCTTAAACTCCAAGCTCTTTAAATAATGAAAATATAACATTTTCAGATTAAATAATATAAGAATCATCTAATTAATCTTAAAAAGAAAACCAAGAAAAATAAGAAAATAAAAATGATATTTTCTTTACACCTTAAAAAACTTAAAAATCTTTAGCCAGCACAAATAATGTTTTTAACAAGACATCTTATAATTTTGTATCATAAAAATAATCATAAGCGTTTAATCTCCCACAAATAAATTCTCATAGACAAGATCCTTTCAACAAGTCTCTGCTAACAAACAACAGTATTAAAAATAGAAATACAATGTATAAAATAAATAATCCTTAATCAAAAGTTAAAGAAAATAACTTTTTTTCAAATAAATAATCAAATTAGTCTCCAATTTAAAAAGTGATCAACCAAACAAATGCTGTTTGATTTCTAATTTGCAAAATTAAAAAAGCTTCTTTGTTACATCTAATTGACTTTAAACTCCTAAAATAAAACTTTTAATAAATAATATTCTCAATTTTGCTAATTCTATTTATTTTGATGTAAATATACTTATATTATATATTGATTTAGTTAATTCATATTTATTTTAATCAAGAAAAAAAAAAATTAAAATTAATTTTAGTTTTTAATTTTTTAGTAATTTCTTACTAAATATTAAGATCTTTACTAGATAAACTCGAAATTCAAACTCACATGCAAAAAAAGTTTTATATGAAATTTGGATGAAAATTTGTAAGAATATTTATTATCTAAAAAAATCGAGGTTCCAATTTTTAAAGGGGTTTTATGGTATTTTATTCTTAATTATTAATATTAAAAACAATAAATTTTATATTTCTAATTTTATATTGGCTGTGTAAGAAAACTTACATCTAAAGAAAACAGTGTAGTATTTTTAATTTTTATGCATAAAAAATTGTGAAATTTATTATCTCTAAATTAGCCAAGGATCTGTTAAATGCTTAAGAGAATGGTTAAAAATGATTCGTTTAAAATATAAGAAACTATATAATTCACTAAACGATTGATAACTAGTAGTTTTGAAAATAATTAAATAAATTATCAAGCATTCCTTTATATTTTTTGTGTTGATTTAATTTGGTTTTTTATTTCTTAAAAGATATTAAGTTGTTACTCTTTAATTTAAAGCAGGAAGGCCTATAAATTAAAAACAGCATACATAATACTGCTTGAGAAATAGGTTAATGATTAACTAAACAAGCTAGTAAATTAAAAAAAGGCTTAGTCCAAGCAAATAAAATTAGGAGAATACAGAACAAGATAAGCAATGCTTAGAACAGTTGATAACTGATCCTTTACATTTAAAATTATTAATATTGGCTGGAACTGATTTAAAGATTGCAGAACTTTAGTAAATAAATTAATGTGTAAACCTTATGAAACTAGATATTTCATCTAATCATCTCTAGTTGCTTCCTCCTAATATTGATTTTAGTAAATTTTCTAACCTTCGTTTGCTGTATTTGCACAATAATAATTTAAGTGACATGGAAAGTCTAAATCAAATATTCAAATGCAAATAAGTAGTTTATTTAACACTATTTAGAAATCCTTTATCAGAATTAAATTCTATTCGCCACTACATAATAAATTAAATGCCCAGTTTAAAATGCTTAGATTTTAATTATGTTTTGGATGAAGAAAGAAGTGATATATTAATAGCTGATGATAACTAAAGCGCTAGATATTATTAGTTATCCAAGCTTTCTTGGCCAGTTGTTATATATCCAAATGATGAGAATCTTACAGAGCAGTAATACTTAAGTATTCTGTTTAAAGAAATAAGCATAATAACTACTTAGCATAGAAAATGCAGTTTCATATTAACTATTTAGAGATTCATAAGGGGATTTATTGTCCGACGGTAGGTTACTAAGATAATAAATTCAATATAAAAAAAAGAAAACGCAGTTATAAAATATGCTGCAAAATGGAAGCAATATATTTTTAAAAAGAGATAATTGAAAGAAGTTTTAGCTGATAGAAAAAAGTAATACTTACTTGAAGACACTAAAATGTATAGACATGCAAGGGCTTTGAATAAATTAGCTTAGTTAGTGAGAGAATTTAATAAAAAGTTATAATTAAGAAAAAGGTATTAACGAGCTGCTCGTATCCTCATGAAAGCAATGAGTAATAAAAAAGCTTATTTCTATTCTTATGAAAACTATCTCTCTCTAACATCCAATGAGAAATTAGAAAATGGCAGTTCTGTTTCTTTATACATGAGAGAAGATTAACTAAAGCTTGTTGATAATGAAGAGTTTAAAAAGTTTATGGTTTTATTTGCTAGCGACTCAGCTTATTTCAAGCCTAAGGTTGAAGAATTCTGTTCTAATTTTGGTAAACATATCATTAAAGGAAATCCTTATTAAATATTTAGAGTTCCAGATTAAGATAGTATTGTTATACCTAATAATCCATTAATATAATTAATAAAACCAAGTTTGAATTGCAAGATTATTTAGAGAAAGAAATATAATGATTAAAACATAGAGACTGATAAATACTATCATATCCAACGACACCCTATATTAATGAAGTATCAAAGAATTGTTTATATTAAAGAGAAATTCCTTACTCTTAGATACAAATTAAGTGAAGGGCAAAGATAGAAATCATTAGATAAATCAAAAAAACTTTAAATCTTTTCAGAAAAAAGAGATCATATTCTTTTTGAAATTAAATTTCCTCATAATAAGGTTCTTTCATATTTCTTAAGGACAGTCGTATATATGAATTAAGATGTTGATTAGTACTTAGACGATTACAATTAAAGTAAGGGTTAAAAATAAAATTAAAATGAACAATATAATAAATAACAAAAAGAAAAGATTTTAGTATTTTTCTCTTCTTTGTTAGAGAAAGTATCTTCAGCTATGAAGATTTAATAAATTTGGAGGTTGTATATTATCAAAAAATATATGAAGAAGTAAAATATAAATCCTTATGAAAAGTTGTTAGAACACCATGCTTCTTCTAAGTTATAGAGGTGGGTTAAAAAGCTTTCTTATTAACACAAAACCAGCTTTATGAAAGACATCTACCATCATCTCACCAATATCATCAAAACAAAATAGCTATTCTTGCACGAGTAAATCTATTTAAAGTTATTACAATACTAGAACTAGTAGCAATATATCGGCTTTTTGAATAAAAAAGACTCGTTATTTTCTTTCCGTTCTTAAAGCTCTAGAATATATTTTAATAAAAATACAGACCAGATTATAGTAAGAAATATAGAACCTGAGTTTATTAAGTCTGTTTTTCCTGCTTACGTTAATAGAGTGTTTTCTGACTAGGGTTTTGACGATTAAATGAATACTTAGTTCATGCTAGGCGATATATACCATATATTGCATGTAGGATGTAAAATAACAAGGCATGAAATAGGACCTATGAATTATATTTAAATAGATTTCCCCTCACTATCTTAAGCATTATATAGGACGGCTGTTCTTGGTAATATAACAATTAGATGTATTAAAATTTATTTTTTTTTATATTAAGCTTTGAAGACTTACAATTTTAGAATGAATGGATCTTGTGTCAAATTATAGCCTTACCATCATATTTTAGACTGTAATATTATACTTCCATATGAAGAGAAACTATAGATAGCTTACAGTAAATACATACATATTTTTAAAATAATTATTATTAAGATTTATAAAAACTATTTCAAAATATAACAGGAATGTAGATATAGGAAATAGAAGGCAGAGATAATCATTAAATAAAGAAAGAAATTGATAATAAGTTATCTATGTTTGTCTGTAGTGATTTTTAAAAACAATTTATACTTTAAGGGATAGATACTACAACTAACTTCGGATATAAATAAATTCACATGTTTACTTAAAGTGCTAAAAATAAACCTCCATAAAAAATAATAAACAACTTGATTTACTTCCTTTCTGATAATATTTATATGAATATCAACGAATAAAAGGAAGATATAAATAATCCAGGAAATAATTTGAGACTGAGCAGCCTATAGTAATCTAGAAAGGCTTCTGCTAGCTTAATGAGAGAAAGAAATTCAATAATTGTCTAAAAAAATAGCATTATTTCATCAAATTAAAAATCTCAAATAACGTCTCCAAAAAATAATGAACAAAAATATGCTGAAAATAATTTATAGGAATATTCTTAAAATTTATTCATTTCGTAGTTCTATTTAGAGGAAGGTTAAAGTGAGGAAAATAAAGTTAATTTTAATTATCATAGCCACAAGAAAAACGATAGTACTGCAGCTTAAAGCAGAAACAGTAGTATTAACTACGTTTCTAATAGGGATAGCTATTAAAGTAGTTCCACTAGTTATCAATATGGAAAGAGGAGAAGCCTTTCCTCTTTAGTTTCTAACCCATAAATAAAGCAAACTGCTAAAAAGGCAATTCTTAGGCAGCAAGATTTGTAATTTAATTGCAGTATTGTTGAAAATGAAATAGAAAACACAGAGCTAAGTGTTTTGAAAGAGGATACTCAAGGAAATAGTTTTAAATTGAATAGAAAATTGCATTCTTCTTCTACTTCTAAAAATAACAAGAACTTAAATAACTTAAAAGCATAAGATAATTTAAGAAAAGATGAAAAAAATTTACCTGGAATTATGCATTCTTCTTTACTTTAAAATGATTTAATTCGTTCAAAGGTTGTCAAACCTAACTTTAGAGATTCTAAAGAAATCAACAGGTTTATCAAAGAAAGAGAGCAGGATGATGTCGAAAGTAAAAAAATGAGAGTAATTTTGTAAAAAGATAGAAAAGAAGAAATTAAAGAAATGAATTAATAATTGCTTCATTTAAAAGTATTGGAAAAGGCCTAAGTAATTAGGAGTTCAAAATAAGCAAACGAGTAAAAAAGAGCTCTCGATTAATACTAGTAATAATAAAATATAATATAGTAGGCTTAAAGCATTAGAAATCACTCTGTATTAAACTCAGATTAAAGCAAAATTGAAAACTCTCTTATATTAAATACAAACTTTTTAAATAAACAAATAGCCTCTTTTTAAAGTAAAAAAAATAAACAGGAGCTTTAGTAAATAAATTACATTAAAGCTTAATCAATAAAGAACTAAAAGCTATTAAATTTCATCCCAAAAACAGATATAAATAAAAATAGGAGCTTTAGTTTATCTAAATAAGGTGGTCTCTTAAATTAACTTTCTATAAATGAAAGTGATACATAATTCTAACAGTATTAACATAATTTAGAAAATAATTAAGAATCATCTGACAATTAGGTTTCTGAAATACTTCAATAATAAAAAAGAAGTACAAGTATTTGTGATAGGAGTATGAATAATCATTCTCAAATTATAGTAAGCTCCAAAAAAAATGAAATGAATATTTCTGGATTATATGAAAACGATGAACTTTCAAGAAAATCATCAATAAATAAAAAGCTTCCTTCTTTAGAAAAAACAAAGCAAGTTTTGAATAATTATCTTTAAAATAGCGCAGGCTACAACCCTTCTGGAGGCATATTACCTTAATTAAATGCAAATGAAAACTCTCCGACTAAAATGTAAAACGAATCAATTATTCTAAATGTAAAATAAAGATAGTACTTAGGTAGCCAGGTGAAAAAAAGAATCTAAAGCTCTAACTAAAAAGAGAGAATAATTCATTCAGTTTTCCCAGAAGAATTTTACCCTATAGCAAATGGCTAAGCTGATAATTAATTTTTGTTTGATTTTAATATTGATAAAAATAAAAAGCAAATTCAAAAACCTCTAAGTTAACAAACACATAAAAAATGAAAATTCTTATTCTATATAATAATAATAACTTGTAAATTTGTATAATATAAATCATTATTATTTTATTTTTTGATATTTGATTAGCTAGAATTTATATTTTGATACAATTAGCTTTCTATCTAATTGTTTATTCAAAAAAGCAAAATTAAACAATTTTTTCTATATGTTATGGAATTCTGAAATATCTATTTCGAATTAAATAAAAAATAAATAAAAGCTTTAATAGCGTCTAATAAAAAATGCCAATTCAAAACAAAATTTTGAATTACGTAAAATAAACTATTTACTTATTACTTTTAATTACTGTAAGTTTTAAATATTTCTATTGCTGTCTATAATTTTTTTAGTCAAAAATAATAACTAACTTATTGTCTAAAAATTTAAAATAATTTTAAGTTTTGAAATAAATTATATTTTGGTAAATTAGAATAAATAAACTTATTTAAGAAATAATTTAAAAGATGAATAATTGACATATTTTTTAAACTCTTTTATTTTTTAACAAATTCTTATAAAGAAACTTAATAATGTTTTATAAAAATTCTTTCACATATTATTGAGACACTTATCTATCTATTTCATTATTTTAAATTTATAGCAAATTAAAGTAATAAAAATTTGTTGTTAAAGCAAAAAAGTATATATTATCAAATAATTAAAATCAAATAAATTCTTAAATATATTCACAATATATAATTATTTTTTTATCTTTTATGTGGTTTTTTAATAATATTTTGTTTTAATTTTTGTCACAAATTTTTAAAAGAATAAAATATGCACAAAATTTATTTTGTTTAAGATTAAATTTATTTTTTATACTTTTACATAAATATGAGACAACCAATTTGTCACTTATTTTTTTCATATTTCTACTTTTTCTAGTTAGAGGTTGAAAAATGTTTAGCTAAGCTAAAAAAAATAAATATATGAGATTATTTTTAGGCATTAAAGAAAAAGCTAAAGGTAGTATTTTTAAATTTTCTATTTTTATGAATAAAATAGTTTTATAGTTCAAAAAATTTTTTATAGTTTCTAGATATAATGATATTGCTTCTTAGCTAGCTAATTAGCTTAATCATATCTATCTGTATTTTTTACTTAAATTAGAGGCAGTGAATCAATTTTTACAAATAATAAATTATAAATTAAAATAATTGGCTTAAAAGATAAATAAAAAAAAGGCAAAAAATGAGCAGAGCTTACCAAAATAAAATGAAGGAAACTTTATAAGAAGACCTCCGTTCTGATGTTATCACCTGTCCTTATAATAGTTCTCATAAAATAGTTAAAAGCAGACTTACTTGGCACATCTAAAAATGCAAATCAGCTTAGGCGAATAGTCACATGTATGGACATTGCAGATATAATTTTCTTCATATAATGCCAAAAGAAGATTTAGCCACACATGAAAATATTCTTTGCAAAGATCGCCCGAAAGAATGCGAAAAAGAAGATGATTATGGAGATTAAGCTATATTTGATGAAGCTTTCAAAGAGTGGAAAAAAGAATAGAACAAGTAGAAAAGAAATGGAAATAAGAAACCTGTTCAATAATAAATAGAGAATAATGCTGATGAATAAAAATAAGACTATGAAATATACCATGAACAGTAACAAAGTTAGATTTCTAAATCAGGATTTTTGAGCAAAAGTAATTTTGAAGAAAAAAGCGATGTTGATGTAAGTGTAATTAATGCAAATTGGCTTGAATAAAATGACTCAAAGAAAGTTAATAAAAATACTAATAATAACGCTAATAAAAATCTTAATTAAAAATAAGCTAATTAAGATGATAGCGATAGTGGATCAGCTTCTTAAAGTGATGATGATGTTGACAATGAAGATGATAGAAGTGATGATGTCAAAAATGAAGATGAAGAAGATATTGAAGAAGATAAAATTTCTAATCTAAGTTTTGAATAGAAACCAAATAAAAATTAAAATTAATGTATGAATTCTTCAAGTTAAGATGAAGATAGTTAAGATTCTGATATTGACGATAATAGTTATCAATAAAAACCAAAGTCAAATTAAAATTCTAGAAAATAGAATATAGATATGGGTTATTCTAATAATAATAATAATAATAATAATAATAGTGAAAGTGAATGCGAATCAGATGGAAATAATAATAATAATAATTAATATTATAATGAATCTGATCAATCAGATTGCGAAGTCGAGTAGAGTATGGATGCTATTTAATAGAAAAAAAATTTAAAATCATAAATCTAACAAAAAAATAATTCTATATAATTAGTAAAAGCTACAAATTAAAAATATATTGCTTAATAGAACCAAAAAAATTCTAGTTCTAATTAAAAAAAAAATAGTAGTAGCAGTAGTAGCAGTAGTAGTAGTGAAGAAGATAGCAACAGTGAAGAGGAATCTAAAGAAAAAACTAATTAAAATAAAAAAATCTAATCTACTCATTATTAAAATAATAATAAAATTTAAAATAATAAAGAAAATTAAAGAAAGAACAATATACCATCTAAAAACCTTACTAAGAATAATAATTAGATTCTTTAAAGCTTAAATTAAAATGAAGAGGATGATGTTTCTTTCTAAATAAATTAAAGTGAGATTAACAATCAATCTAATCTTTCTTATTTGAATGATTTGTCAATGAATAAAGATGAGTTTACTTAGTCATTCTTAGACTCTTAAAAGAAATAAAAATATAAAAAGAGATATGTTCAGGTTCATAATTTACCTGAAGACTAAAGATATGAAGTTGAGTAGCTATAACATGAGCTAACTAGTAAAAATTAGGCTGATCTCTATTAAAATTAGAAAGCCATCCAATAAATAAGAGGTAATAGAGGATAAAGAGCTGAATAATTAGATAATTAAAAAAATGATAACTAAAGTGGAAATAGAGAAAGTTAACGTTAGGATAACAAACATGGAAGAAACAATAAGAGTGATAATCAATAATAAAATAAAAATAGAAATAACAGAAGTAGAAATAATAATAATAATTGACTAATCGAATTATGATTTTTTTAAAAATAAATTAATGAACTTATATATATTCTCTCTTTTGTAGAGTTTTAAAACTGTGAATTATTTTTATATTTTATTAATTAATTAAAACTAGTTAAAATAAATTTATAAATTGTATTTTTAAATATTCGTTTGATTATGTATCTATATATTCTTTAAGTGCAATCATAATCAAATTTTATATTCTTCAATGAAATATCTTATTTTTTTGAATCTTAATTATTTATTTTTTATTTTTGATTCACAAAATTTTAATTTTTTAAGAATAAAAATTCATTTGATTGTAAAATATAATATTATTTTGTTTTATTTTGCTTTATTTTACTTTTTGGCTCTTTTCAAACATATTCTCAAAAAATATCTTCTAAATAAACTAATTACAAATTTAAATTAAAACTCTATTAATAAGTAAAACGTACTGAAATATTCTTAATTTTAGTTTGATGAAATCAAATTAATCATTAGATTTTAATTTTGTTGTAAAAAATGTTTTACTTTTTTCATGTTAATTTATTCAAATATTGAATTGAAAATAACTTTATATCTTTTTAATTATTTTTTCGAATTTAACTTATGCTTGTAGCATAGAAAATTAAGTAATTATGTCAAAAATTTATTTAGATTGAACTTAAATTTTATAAATAAATTAATAATCTATCAATCATCCTCACTCGTTTATTAATCTTACTCTTAAGATTATTTCTTAGCTAGCATGAGCTTTTTTTTATTTTCTTCGAATTTCTCTTAATTCTTTTTTTTTTAGATTGCTCTAATTTATTCTGCATTTCTCACCATACTTTCATCAGAATCTAGCTCACTATTTTATTTTTCATAGCTTTAATTTCTTTTATGAGAGAGTATATTATTTATATTTTATGAGCTATTTTTAATTTAATTTTCATTTTTAAAATCTTAATCTTCAAATTTAGATACTTTTTAAGGCTGATGTGTTGAGTAATTACTTTAAGTTTTGCTAGATGAATCAAATGATCGATTGGTTGATAAAATATTTTTTTAGTTATCAAATTATTTCTTATTTTTATTTTCAGATTGTTTAATTTAAAGTCTTCTCTTCACTTCTTAGTCAATAGAATCATTCTCACTAAATTCTTCATCATTTACATTTATTTCGCCACTTATTGAATTATCTTCGTTTGAGGATAAATCTTACAGCTGCTTTTATAAAAACTATTAATCTTTTTAATTTTTTTACAGTTTATCACTATTTATAATTTTTTATTGGTTTTCATAATGATTATCATCATCACCATCTTATTTTTCATCATCATCTTCATCAATTTCATTTTCCTAATCATCTTCTTCTTAGTCAGAATTATCTTAAAAGTTATTTTGTTTATTATGCTTAAATCTAATATTCTCTTAAACACTCTCTTCTTCTTCTTCTTAATCTAAATCAGAGTGATCATTATATTGATTGTTTTTTTATTTGGATATTTCATTATATGCAGAAGATCTGCTTGTATTTAAATTATTTTTTTATTATTTTGATACACTATTATTCAAATTTTATTATTTTATTTAAGCACTGAATTATTTTTTATCATTACATTCTTCTGAGTTATCACTAAGCTAGGCTAATGTATCTTCATCTTCCTCTTCTTAGAACTGATGGTTATTCTAAATACTACTTAAATTCATAATTTTACCTTCTCTACTACTTCTAAGAGCATTATCCTCTCTAGTAGAGTGTCTAGTGAAAGGAGATTCTAATTTACTAGTTATCTATGTTTATCTTGACCTATCGGTTTATTCTGTTTACTCAATTTATTAGTTTTTTTTATTTTACTATTTAACCTAAAAAGCTTCTATTTCATCATCCAAATCATCACCGATAAATTAATTTTCATTTTATCTTTAGTTAGTTTACTTCTACTATTTTGATTTGCTAGTATTGACAGTTTGAAAGGCCTCTTCTTTTTTATTTTTTGTGGATGATGGTTAAGAACTTTTTGGCAGAGGAGCATTAGAAGAGTTGTGAGGCTTTTAGTTTTGCTAATTTTAGAATACATTTTGTGTATTGTAAGATTAGAATGCACTGTTGCTCATAGATGACTATAAAAATGTGAATTCTGCATTTAGCTCTAGCTCTTTTTTTGTGAGCTAAAGCTCTCTTTCTAATTTTTCGATCATGTTATCTTTATCAAATATTTTTTTTTAATAGTAATCTTTGACTCTATTTAATTCTTCTTTGAGATCTTCTATTTTTTCTTCAACCATACTTTACATTTTTTATGTTTTAACCTCTTTTTCTTCATTTACTTATTTTAATAAGCTATTTAAATTTTAAGACTATCTTTTTATATTATCTCTTTCAATAGTTATTCGGTTAATCTCTGAAGTTTTAAGTTTTAAGTCATTCTCAATTGTTTCGCATTTTATTTTAAAGTTAGAAGCTTCTTCCATTTTTTAAATTAATTCTGATGATATTTATGTTATTTTTTATTATTTTTCTTGACTTTCTTCTTCAAGTTGCTTTGTTTTTTGCATCAACTCTTCGTTTTACTATTTATAAGCTTGTTCAATTTCCTATAATCTTAACACCAATTTATCATATTTTTAAGCTTTTTAGAGACCTTCTTTATAAATTTTTGACTACTCAAGCAAATCTTAATATAAATTTTCTACCTCAGTTCCGATTTCACTAAACGAAAGCAGCTTTTCATTTAATTGGTTCAAAGTTTAAATGGAATCAGGAAATTCAACTTTCAATCTAATTTTAAGCATAGAATGCAGCTCTTTAATTGTTTTTTTAAGCATAACTATGTATGCCCTACACTACTATTGTGAAGTATCACTATTTACAGAAGTAAAATTACTCTTCTCATTTTATATGGTGTTATTTTCAGTTTCATACTAGCTCGACATATTTAATAATATTTATATATTTTATAAAATAATTCAAAAAACTAAAAAATTAAAGTGTATATTTGTATCAATCTTTTTTTTTTTTGATAGTTTTTAAAATTTAAAAGTTTGTGTTTTTTATAAAAATTGTGTGTGTAAATCATATCTTAGATTTTACTGTTATTGATTTTCAATTGATTTTGTATGAAAAAAAAGATTTCTTTGATGAAAATAAATTTAATAAAATAATTTTTTAATAATTTCAAACAAAATTAAACTAATGAATGATATATATTATACACATTAAAAGGACGATTATAAAAAATAATTTAGTTTTTTTTGCTTATAAATAGCTATAAAATATGGTTAGTACTCTCAAAAGCTTTGAAAGTTTGTTCAACTAAAATAAATAAATAATTAATTTTTTATTGAAATTACTCTGAATCCAAAAAATAGGGTTGTTTCCCTTTCACACTTCTACAACATCTTTCATCTCTATAAACTTATGGTTATGTCCACTCATGCTTGACTATTTTATTTTCCTTTAAGTTTCTTTGGAGGGTCCCAAAGCAACAAAAAGATTATCTAAAAATTTTATTTCTAGCTATTCTAATTTAATGCAAACATATTCACCAGCAAGTACTGTAACTAATAGTATAAGTCCATTAATAATTAGCCATTTTATTTCAAATGATTCAAAGAAAGGTCCATTATAAAAGAAGCAGAATATAAAATGATATCCATAGATTGTAGATACAAAATCAAGTACTTTATTTGCTTTTACAATAATATTCGATAAGCCAACAATAACTATGGGTATGTTAAATAAATTTGTCAAATAGCTAATATAAGCTAATTAAGGCGTTGATGGAGAAGATGCGTATATTGAAAAATCAAATATTTATCCTATATGAGTAGGCTTTCCAAAAATTGAATTGAATATAAAAAGTAAAACTAGCTAGCTTAAATAGAATAAAAACTACATTGTCATTATTTACAAGATTATAAGTTTAATGTCTAACTAGGAATACATTCCTATAAACCTCTGAGAATGCATTTTTAAAAGAGCTATAACAGTGTTTTAATATTATAATATCTATTCTTAAATTTTTAGAGGTTCAGCTTAATAAGATTGTTTAATGTATATGTTGAAATGCCTTGCTTGTAATTTTATTTATTAGTAAAATAAGCTAAGAAAATAAGATTATTAAATCACCTAAAAGAATATATAAAAAAACAATTATTTTTGATATTTTGTAAAATCTAATAAAAATAATTGACAAAATAAAATTAGTTAAAATGATTAGCAATTATAAATATAAATTACTTCTTATAATTTCTATTATTTCCAAACTCAAAACAAATAATCAAGAAAAAAAATCTATTTCATTTTATTTTTAAATATTTTTAATTTATTTTTTAATTGAGTAAATCAATTAATTCAAAATAGAATAATTAATTATTAAAATTATTTGGAATTAAGAGTTAAAAGGAGGTAACAAAAACTTTACTCAAATTTGCATTATTTTGTACAAAACTTAAATGACGTAAACTTAGGCGATATTTAAATGCTTCACATCTGACATCAAAATTAAAAAAATGTTTATTGATTGAATTTGAAATAAAATTTTAATAGTTTAGTAACCAAAATTTGTAATATTTTTGGTATTTAATTTGGTATTGAGTTATTTAGTATAAATATTTCTGTTAAAAACTTAAAAAATATGATATAAGTATCAGTTTGATGCGAGGAAAAATTGCGTGTTTAATGATTTTAGAATGTTAGAGAAAGAAAGAAGGAAACTTTTTAGTAAATAAAGCAAATTTTAAGTGTTATTTCTTCATTAATTAAAAGAAAATTTTAATAAATTACAATAAGAATCTATTGGTGAAATAAAATCAATTACTCAAAAAGAATATCTTAGAAAAATACTAAAAATTTAGTTTATTTTTAGATTATTGAGAGTCATAAATTGAATTAAAAAAGGTTGGCTGAAGGAAGGTATGATGATTTATTTAGCTAGCTCGTTTCATAAATAATATTTACTTGATTTTATAATATCTCCAAATTTAGGTTTATAAATGTTGCGTTTAATACGCAATACACGTACTTTATATTCATATGCTTGACACAAAAAGAATAATTCTTTGACTTTGTCTTTATAAATTAAACAAAAATCCTATTAACAATAATTTATTACAAACGAAATTAAATTTCTAAAAAAAAATAAAAAAAGAATAGTCCATCATCTTCTAAAATACCAAAATGCCTTTAAAATCTGAAAAGCTTTTCGACTTAATGACTCCTTTCTTAGCTGAAAAGGGTAAGGACTTAGTTCCTAAGATTAAGGCTGTTTACCACTTCGCCGTTGTTGAAAAGAAGGGTGGTCCCGTTGTCGAAACCTGGACCATCGACTTGAAGAACGGTAATGGTAGCATTAAGAAGGGTGCTGAAGGAAAGCCTGACTGCGTTTTCACTGTTTTGGATGACGATGTTATTGCTATGGCCAACAAGACCCTCAACCCCCAACAAGCTTTCATGAGCGGTAAGATGAAAATTAAGGGAAATATGGCTGCTGCCACCAAGTTCACCCCTGATCTCCTCCCCACCATCCCCAAGCTATGATTATTCTAAATTTATAAAACAAAAAGATAATATTTAGCCATTCTTAGATTGTAATTACCTATTCCATATAAATTGTATGTATTATGTAAAGCATTTTAAAAATGGTACCATGATAATAACACTATTTTTTCAATTAGTTTGATATTAAGTTTGATTTATATTATGTTTTCACCTATAAAATTTCTTAACTCTTTGTTGTTTAAAAAGGAACAATAAAAGTTTAGTTAAAAGTCTTTGTATCTACTTTTTCCTTCCAAATAAATTTTTGATGCACTCAACGAATAAAAACACTTATCGTTCTGGTGATTTATAATTATTAAAATTGTTCACTTTGAATTTCAGATAATGCATGTCGTCATTTATGTATGCAAATTCTAAATATTTCAATTCAAATTTTTTACCTAATTTATCTAATAATATTATTTGGTTAACATCTTCTTATTTTTGAAAAGATACCATCTATCAATCTAGCTTCTTTTACATAAATAAAAATTTAATGAGGATACCAAAGCTGAATAAATATGACATAAAAATTTTTGTAAAATTTGGTTCTTCAAAAAATTAAAAAATTTATTTAAAAAATAAAAATTATTAATTTTTTTTAAGTAGAAATTTTTTTCAAATAAATAAATGAATGAATGAATCATGCTAATATTTTTATCAAATTAATTTAATATTGAAAATAGACTCTAAATAATAAAATTATATTTTAAATATATAAATGACTTATTTACATTTTTCAAAATTATTTTTATATTAGAAGTGTCTCTTTAATGCATGCAAGCAAAGCTCACATTGCAATAAATCGAACAAACTATTCAATAAATAAATATAATGAGACGTAGAAGAAATTATTTAATAATAACAATAGCATTATAAATATTTTAATATATTCTTATTTTTTTGTTTGGGAGTAGCTGCTTTATATATTAGAGGGAAACAAAAAGACTTAGTAAAAAATTAAGAATTATTAAAAAAGACTTAGAAAAATTTCTTAAATCGCAACAAAAAAAGACTTAGGAAAAAAAACTAAAAATCCCTCACACTTTTAAAGGTTTGATTTTCTTATTTTTATTTAGAATTGCTTGAAACTTAATTTTTGCTTTTGATTTAGCAAGCAATATCATACATAGATACTCATAGTTTTTACCAATACAGCAAACTAATTTTTTCATAAAAGTACAACTAGCTGATAATGTAAGCCATTTTACTAATAACAGGATAAAAAGATGAGTAGCAAGAAGAACACTAAGAAAGTCTCTGATAGCGAGGACGATGATTTTGAAGAGGAAGAAGATGAATCAGAAGGTTCAGGAGAGGAGGATTCCGCTGAAAATAGTGTCAAAGAAGAAGAAGATGAAGAAGAAGAAGAAAACGGTGATAATGAAATTAAAGAGGAAGATAACGCAGATACAAAAATAGAAGTTAAGGATGAAAATGAAGATGATGAAGAAGAAGAAGAATTTAAACCTTCGATTAATGGCAATAAAAGAAAGAACGATACACCTGTTGAAAAGGCAGCAGGATTGTCAAATGCTAAATAAGTGAAAACATCTGGCGGTGATGCAGTTAAGAAACCAGTGTAAAAGTAACAAGACAGTGATGATGAAGACGATGAAAACAGTGATATTAAATGGAAATATTTAGAGCATCACGGAGTGCTATTCCCCGATTATTGGTAAAAGCATAATGTAAGACCTAGGTATGATGGAAAACCTATTGATTTAAATCTCTTGTAAGAAGAAATGGCTACTTATTGGTCATAAACTTTAGGAACAGATTGGGAACATAAACCTAAGTACAGAGAGAATTTTTCAAAACAATTCCTCGATACCTTTGGTAAGGATAAAGGTAAATATGACTTTGATAAGTTCGACTTCACTCCTATAAAAATACATCTTGAAGAGCAAAAAGAAATCCGTAAAAATCGCTCCAAAGAAGAAAAAAATCAAGAAAAGTAGAAAAAAGAAAGGCTTTCTGATTATTATGCTGGCGCAATTCTAGACGGATTTAGAGAAAAAGTAGGATAATTCATGATTGAACCTCCAACTCTCTTTAAAGGTAGAGGTGAACATCCAAAAATGGGTATGATGAAAGGTCGTATTTAACCAGAAGCTGTTGTTATTAATATCTCAAAAGATGCACCTGTCCCAAAATGTTCAGTTCCTGGTAAAATAAATTAATTTATTTATTATAATTATCTATGATAAATAAAAAATTTTAAGTATCCTACTAAAAGTTATAAACAAACAACAAGCATTCATTCATTCATTCATTCATTTTCTGGCCAATTAAATTTTAATATCTTTAAACTTAATATTCTCTCTTTTCATAATATAATTATGTTTATAATGCCAATATTAAATCAATTTGTTTCATATTTAATGTATTTTCAAAAGCTATACATCCTTAATTAATCATATTTAGCTTTTTACACAAGACTGTATTCATATATGTAGATAGATATTTAACGAATTTCCTAAAAAATAATTAGGTCATGGTTGGAGTGAAATAGTCCACAAACAAGATGTTACTTGGTTAGCAAGCTACAAGGATGATTCTGTAAAGAAGCAACATAAATATATCTTCTTATCTGCTGAAAGTAAGCTTAAGGCAGAAAATGATAAAAAGAAATACGAAAAAGCAAGACGTCTTAAAAATTTAATTGGATAGATTCGTGAAAATTACGAGAGAAAATTAAGAAGTAGTGATCCTGTTGATAGATAATTAGGTACTGCTACTTACTTGATTGATAAGTTAGCACTCAGAGTTGGTAATGAAAAATCAGAAGAAGAAGCAGATACTGTCGGTTGCTGCTCTTTGAGAGTTGAGCATATTTAAGTTATAGAAGATACCTAGATTGGATTCGATTTCTTAGGTATTTAAATTTTTTTCTATTATTAAAATAATCAATTTATTTTTATTTATTTATGTAGACAAAATTTTATATAAAATTAATTTTTAAAAAAAGGTAAGGATTCTATGAGATATCAAAATACTGTAAAAGTTACTGAGATTGTTTGGAAAAATATGTAGTCTTTTATCAAGAATAAAAAACCTGGTGATGATTTATTCGATAGAATTGATGCAAGTAGCCTAAATGAATATTTAAAGAGTTAGATGGAAGGTTTGACAGCAAAAGTTTTTAGAACTTATAATGCTTCTCACACTCTTTAAAAAGAATTAGACAAGGCTGATGAAGAAGGCCTTGATAAGATGGATTTAAAAGATAAACTTAATTTTTATGATGAAGCTAACAGAAATGTTGCCATTCTTTGTAACCATCAAAAAACAGTAGGCAAAAACTTTGATGTAATGGTTGGAAAAATGGAACAAAGAATTAATGTTTATAAAGATTATGAAAAGGAATTACATACTCATTTAAACAAATGCAAAAAGAATGGAGTCAATGCTTATGAAAAAGAAGTTATCTTAGAAGAAAAGGATGATGGAAAACATAAAATGTTTGTTAAAAAGTTCCCTGGAACAAAGGAAAAAATTTAAGAAGCTATTGAAAAAATTAAAAAGAAGATAGACGAAGAATAAAATAAAAAATAATCTAAAGAGAAGAACAAAGAAATTGCCTTAGGTACTTCTAAAACAAATTACAACGATCCTAGAATATCTGTTGTTTGGTGTAAAAAGTGGGAAGTTCCTGTAGAAAAAGTTTTCCCTAAAACTCTCATTGCTAAGTTCGTTTGGGCTATGGATACAGATTTAGAGTGGTCATTCTGAGATAAAGTAATTTATCATCATTTCTATAAAATATTTACATTTCTGGTTAAAATTGTTAAAATAAATAACTAATATAATTATTTATAGAATATTTTCTGTGTGTTATTCTATTTATGCATTTTTTTATTATATATTCTAAACTAAGAAGAAAAAATTAGTTTATTACCTTTCTCTTTATCTAAATGTACTTTATAAAATTTAGTTGATTATAAATTGAATTTAGGAATAAAATCAAAATATAAAAAAATATCATTTGCATTAAAAATGAATTCTTTCTTTATTAAATCTCTCTATTTCAAATAGTATTTGAAAAATAAATTAATTTTTTACACTAAAAATTGGTAAATAATGAATGAATGAAATAAATTAATTTTTTAAATGATTACATATACATATAATAAATATTTTTTGTTGTTGTTTGATTAGTCAGAATTGGGTTTTTTAAAATTTTATTCTCTGATTTAAGATTTTTCTGAAATTGAATGTCTAAGAGATAGAGATTCTACGGTAAAATAATCATATTGGTTACACGAAGCCCAAAAAGAGTTTATGTATGTTAAGCTGAATTTCATTAGGCAAACTATTTAAAAATATATTTTACTCATAGGAAGGTTCCTTTACACAGAAACCAGACCTGAGAAATAGATTTTTACAACTTCTCAATTATAAGAAATCTATTAAATCTAAAAATAAGAATTAATTAATATTTCAAATTGATCCTTAAATTAATATATTAGTATATTAAATAACTGATGATAAAAAAGTAATTCCTTATATATCATGTCATTTTTGAAAAATTTTTAATAAAGGTCTTAATTTAAAGTTTTAAAAAATGGGTGTTAATATAAGAGAACTATAGTATATAATTATATAAATTTTGGCATTCTTTCTATTATTTTAAATTTAATTTTTTATTCAATTTTATACAGATAAATTTTAATATTTTAGAAAAAAAAATACTATGATTTATTTTTTAAAATATTTAAATGATTATATACAAAATAAATACAAATTGCTTATATTGAACACCTTAAACTTGTAATCAAATTACTTTATCACATTCACATGTTTTTATTCAGTTACTATAAAATTTTTCAAGAAAAATCTAAGTTTGTAAATAATACTCTAAATTTTTAAAATTAATCTCACTCATTTATAAATCTTATTTATGTTTTTCCACTATGTCTTATTAATTAAACTGCTAATTTCTTATCTTGATTACTCTTTCAAGATGTTCATGTGTTAAATTAAATTTAAAAACAGCTACACAGTCAGACATATTTAGGATATCATAATTTTAAATTTATAGTTAATTTGGATACTAAATAATATCTATGAATAGCTAACACTCACAAATTATTATTATATCATCAATCAATTTAATTTCAAGATCATTAAATGTATAATTCATTTATTTCTTATGTAATTATTATTGGAAAAACTCAACAGTTTTAGAGAATATTCTTTTTCTACTCTCTTAAGTGAGAAGCTAGTTTGCATTATTTCTTATAGCATAAGAAATTAACTCATCTTTACTCACTCCCTAAAGCGCAATGAGACTACTTGTGATAATTGATTGCTAGCAGTTTCCTAAAGATTTTAATTCCCAGTTTATTGAATAAGAAATTGATAGTCCAAAGTCTTCAAATCCCAAGTATTTATTTGTCAATTATTTTTAAATTATTTGCATGTATTACTTGCGCTGATAAATTATTTATTACAGAAGTGTAGGATTATAAAAATTTAGAATATAATTAATTTGTTCTCTAAAGTAGAATAATGGGTTCTAAACTTACTATAGATACAAGGAAGTTAAATAATCTTCTTTGTTTTGTGTAGACTAAAGTATTTTAACAACCCTATCAAAATCAAATTATACTTCTGTCATCTAAAGATTTATTAAAATAGATCCATCTGCTTACTTTAGTGTACTTTACATTCTTATAAATTAATTTACTTCATTTTCAGTATCTTAATAATCAGGATTTTATAGTTCTACTAAAATACCTCCAGCCATTAAAAATTTTTTAGGAGTTGTCATGTTTCGATTAATAGTGAAATAATTTGCAGCAACATATTTACAAATTTGACTAGGATTCTCACAATCTCTGCTCTTAAATAAACACATTTCTGCTCTTTATTTAGTTTATTTTTTAATTTTTCTTTTTTTGAGATTAGCTTTTAATGTTTCTCTATTTTAATTATCTTCCTATCCATCATTTAGATGACCAATAAACGCCATATTATTATTTTACTTTATATTAGTTTGGTTACATTCTTACTAAAGTATATTTTTATTCATTTTATCATCTATTGAGTTAATTATTTTGTAAAATTTAATTAAAAATTTTGATATAATATCATCAGCAATTATCTATCATTCATTGATTAAAATTAACAATATAGAAAATATAAAGCAAATTTAAATTTCCAAAGATTTTATTAGCAAATCATCAACCTTTAAATTGATCTTAATATAATTATTTTAATTAATTTTTATCAAATTTGTATTTAAGAACTAATTTAGATAAAACATCTATTAAACATAAAATATTAATATTAAAATTTTACTTAAATTTAATTGTAAATAGTGAGAAAAATAAATACTAAGCATACTGTTAAAAAAAATTAATTTAAAAAATACTTTTAACTTATTGATATTTAATTAATTAAATGTGTTCTATATTTTAAAAATTAGCAAAATAACATCACAATTTAAATGAGTTATTTTTGACTGGAGTTTATTTTTTTCAATTTCAATACTATTCGTATAAGTCATAAATAATAACTTATGGTAAAATAGGAATAGTTTCTTTTAGTATTAAGCTCAATTTACATATTTGCATAATATTAACTTTGTAACTGTTCCAAATAAATCTATTTTATCCAAAGTAGTCATAAACATTAAAGTAATTTAGATATTAAAGAGTATGAATCATTAATTTTTAAATTTAAAAGTTCATTACTCTATTTGTATGATAAATTTTAAGGCCTTCTGTTGATCTACTTTTTTAATCCAGTTTATTGTTTTGTACCCATTCGATGAATTATTTAATTATTTAAAGAGTGTATGATTATTAAGCAAATTATTTATTGACTATTAATAATTCTAATTAATCATTTTTCTTAGAAAAATTAATCTAACAGTTATTAGCTGAATTTTAGCATGAAAATTGAAGATAATTAGTTTTTAATAAAGTTAATTCCTTAACGATATTTATGTAGTCTTCAAAATTTACTAGCAAGTCCTCTTATATAAATTCCCCATTTATATAAACTGGAATATAGAAATAAGATTATTTAACTTTGTTTATAATATTACTCAGTTTTAAGCTTAAATTGTTGGACCTTAGCAAAATATTCTCATTTATACTTAAATTTAATCCATATTTAAATATAATATGAAGGGCCCAAAACGATTATATTATTTCATAAAGAATCAAACAAAATGCACAATATATTATCATAGTATACGTGTCTCCTCTTGAATTTTCAATTATCAGATTTATTATGAAAAATACAATAATCATTAAGTGCTAAAATGATTAATTTAGTGTGTAAAATCCAAAATTTTTAATCTTTTTTTCTTTGGAGTATTCTTACAGTTTATAACTTGGCATCTCTTAAAGCTGAATTGCTGAAAAACTAAATTTTTTAAATGTTTTATAAATTACTACTTCAAAAATAATATAGCATAAAAAAAGAATGCTAAAAGCAGGATGATGTCTTATCAAATTTCCAGCGCACATATAAAAGCATGTTACTCTCGAAGCATTCGCGATGAATTAGTATAATTTCCATGAAAATTGTTTATTTATTTTTAAGTATGATATCTATCTTATTGTGGAGGTAGCAGAAATAAGAAATATGCTTAAGATAACTGAAATAAATTAAGGCCAATACTACTTAAAAGTAAAGTCTTCAGAAATTAGATAAAAATCAAAAATCAAAGCAAAGAAATTTAAAAAATGAGGAATGTATAAAGCTCTCTTACTGAACCTTGGTTCATGATAAGCATGATCATCGTCTCCAACATAGACATTTCCCAAATTAGCATCTATGAAAAAAATCATGTAAAGTACATCATAAATTGGAGACATATTTGTGTTGCAAATAAGAAAATTTTTTATGATTATAGTTATTCTAAATATAATAAAGGCCGTCAGAGATATCGCAAAGAAGGTAATATAATCATTTTGTTTATAGTAAACTATTAAGTAAATGTTAAATATATAGTTTATTGATATCAATAATAGAATCAATTTGCTTTATAAGCTTATTTTACTTATTGTCATAATTTATTTACTTTTTTTTTATTTGATAAACTTATATTTTTGATTACTTTCAAATTATTCAAAAGCACTTTTAATCTAAGAAGCATTATCTCATTAAGATATAACTTGCTATACTGAATAATCTTTTTCCAATTTATCTATTTTATATACGTCTATTATAACAAATTTATTGATACCAATATTAATTATATAAATAATCAAGAAATTAAATAATCATTTTCTTTATTAACACAATTTCAGTATTTATCCTATTTTTTTTCTCTATTGGAACAGCATTAATGAAGTTTGGTTTGATAAAATAATTAAATATTTTTATATTACAAATTCTATTACCTTATTTCAAAAATTCTTATTTAGTAGAGGTAAGATAGGTTCCGAACTAAAATATTTATTTTTTTACACTTTTTTGGAAAATAAATTTTCTTAATTAAATCAAAACATTAAATTTTGCTTATTGTAAATCGAAATGGCATTTAACTCTATATAAAATGGATATATATAATTAACACATAACATCAAAAATATTAAATTAAAATTATCTTTGATTTAGATTGAATAAAATAACATTTTTTAAGATTAAAACTAGTGAGAATCATAAAATTATTTCATGCTTGATTTTGTTTTTAGATTTTTTTAAACAAAAAATAACTTTTTTTTACATTAAAATGTATCTAAATGGTATTATTTTTTAATTTAACACCTAAAAAAAACTACAAGTTATGAATTGTATATTTATGATACTATACTTATTTAGCTATTATTGAATAATACAAGTATAAAGTAAGTACTCGTAGATTAAATTAATTTCTAAAATAAACTGTTTGATTAAATTGAAAGATTATTTATTTTTTATTGAGTTGAATTTTTGTAAGTAAATTTTAAATATAATCCATTTAATTAGATTTCTATTATTAATTTAATATAGTAGTGATTATTTATAATTTAGATAGATAGGTAATTCTGCTAATTTCAATCATTCATTGTTCTATTACTGATTAAAGAAGTGAACCGTTACGGAATTCTAATATATTCTATAAACTTGCAGAGAGGGTTGTAAGATAGTATCCACTAATTGAGTTGAGAAGATTGCTTGTAATAAATTTGCTTATAAGTTTTATATGGGTATTCATTTCGTGTTAGAAACACTTGCATGTAAAGTAACTGAATATACTAAGTACGTCATCAGCATCTAAAAAATTATTCTATTGTATTCCATACATTTTATAAAAGTTATTAATGCATACTAGAATATTTTCGCTTGCCTTAACTATCATCTTCATCTTTCCAATTGGACTTTACTGCTTTTTAATTTTTAATATATATTTAAAACATTTATAATAGCTTTCTCTTTTAAGTTTCTCAAAATAAAATTTGTCAGGCAATTCATCATTTTTTTGTTAGTTGCTTTCATCGTGAATATCAGATTAGAAGTTTTTCTATATAGCCTACAAACCATCTTTACTGTTATTGACTTGATTTTCTTTACTATTTTCCAATGCACTACTTGAAGAGCTTGATTACTAACCTTCCTCACTTTCTTTCTCAGTAATTTCTTCATTATTACTTGCATAACTTTCTCTTTAGTTTTAAATTTAATCTGAAGATAAAGGATGGTGGAATGTTTAGCTATTATTTAAATTGGCATCCTTAAATAACTCTATTTTATTATCAAATGATTAAGTATAGTAATATTCTAATTCCTTGCAGTGAGACTTTCTTTGCTGCATATGGGATGGAGTGTGAGAAGACTAATTAGTAGGATGATTAGATAAATTACTTTTCGTTACTTCTTATGAATGATTATTTTATTATTTTGTATTCTTTTTGTGGGAATTTCCAAATTATTTAATACCTCCAATCTAGCATGCTAATTCTGAACAGTCCTCTTCATTGAATTTCGTTTCCTCCTCATCTTCATATTTTGTATCTTTCTTTAAAGGACTTTTACGAATACTCATATCTTCTTAGTTCTCTTCTTCGACTTTCTCTTCAACTAAGTTTTCATTAACCAAATATTTATCATTTTTCCTTTTATAGTTTTTGATTTCCGATTCATAATTACTGTCTTTTTCAGTAACGGCATTTAATGACTCGGTTCCAGTAAATTCATTTTCTTACTCTTCTTAAATATATTTAACAGATCCTTTGTTGAAGTGCTTTAACGTGCGTTCATTCAAGCAAAGTCTATCTTGGATATAAAAATCTTGTGGATTTTTGTCAATTAGAGTAATCATAGATTATTACAGCCTTGCTTCTTAATCCAAATCTTCTAGTTATAGGAGCATAAAGGTTATTTCATAAAGTTTTTAATTAGCAAAAACTTAGGATGTTACAAAATTTAGCATATTTTCTCGATTAAAATGATTAGGAACTGGGTTTTTTTTAATTTCTGTATTTGATCTCTTAAACTCGCGATTTAAGTTATAAAAAAGCTAAATAGTTTCTTGCATAACTCTAATAAATTATTGAATATCTTAAATAGCTTTGTCTACGATTTAAGCTTCTTCATTAATAGGAGTATTTAGTTTTTGCTTTCTCATTTCGTACAATCTCTTTGATATTCCTTCATAGCTATTAATGTAAGTCTCTAGAAATATCTAAGTTAAAAACCCTAAAACATTATTATTATCTTATAAATGTTTAGCTATCATACTAGTCTTTAAAACATATAATTCAAGAGCTTCAATTTGTTCCCTGTTTTAGTTTTGAATCTCATTTCTATGTATCAAGTATTAAGGAAAAACATATGACGGGCTAGAGTTAATAGAACTAAAGCTATTCTTGTTTTAATTATTATTAATACTAAAGCTATTAATGCTCGAACTCTTTTTATTCCCGCCAATAGAGGGCCCTATCCCACCAACTAGACTTCCAGTTAAAGAAAATGAGCTATTTTAATCTTCTTCAATTAAATCTGATTTTTTGTAAAGCTTTTTATATTTCTATTAAGGATTTAAATGCTCATAACTTTTCTTCTTTTTTTTACTCTTGCCATCTCCTTAAATGGAATTTCCTTTATTTGGTATTATATTAATGATCATATAAAATAAAACTTTTGCATTTCATTTAAATTTGTAATTGTTTTGAACCATAAAAAAAAACCTTAAATTGACAAAAATAAATGTAAAAATTACTTGATAAACCACAGGAAGAGATTTCAGTCTAATAATGAGACACTGGATAACCTTCATAAGATTTAAGAGCGTAAAGGCATTAATTAGCCCATTGACAAGTTTCTTTTAAATCATTACATTCTCCTTTAAAGTGTAAAAGCCATGCTTCCTATCCCTTTTTAAATAATTAATGGATAGACATATTTAAAAAAACTTAAATTGAATAAATAATATATAAAAATCTAATTGTAATAAATACATCATCCATATATTCATTCTTGCATAAGCTAATACCTCTCCATTTTGACTTTTTATCAATTTTTTGCTTTTTTAATTTAGTTGCTTTTCTAAAATTATTCTTATATCCCTGAGAAGAACTATTACCCATTTTTATCTATCTATCTATCTATCTCTTGTTTTTTTTAAGCTAAAAAATCTTATATTATCAACTACTTTATTAAAAAGATTAAACTAAGTGACTATTATTTAATTATATTCAACTTGTTAATAATCACAACTTTTTTATTTGAGGGCATTCAACCTCGCATAATTTGATAAGTTTTGAGCAATTGACTTATCAATTAACATTATTTTTAAGTCAACCAATTTTAATCACTGTAATAGAATATTTAATGAACTCAAATCTTAAGCAAAAAATTATTGATTATCACTATAGCTTACTTTTAGAAGGCACATCAAAATTTTATAAAATAAGCATGATTATTTAAGAAACATAAAGTATTTATAAGTATATTTATTTTTGTTTATGAAATATTAAATAAATACATACCTGCTTATTTTTTAGGATTTAAATTTAATATGAAAGTAAGAACAATTTTTGTACATTTTTGTAAATAAAAAGCTTCTATAAAATTTATAAAATATACAGAGTTTTATTATTTGTTAAAATTATATTATTTTATTCATTTTAGATTAAAATTTATTTTTTTAATAAAAATTTATTCATTTCAATTTTATTTTTAGGATTTCTTTAAAATAAAAATAAAACGATGATTTAAATTATTTATATATTATTACATCTTTTTAAATAAAATATATTTTTAATTAAATAATATTAAAAAATTAAATTTAGAAATATACACAGTATTATACTTACAAATTTACTTGTTTAAAGTTTAATTTTTTTTAATTTTATTTTAAAAAGATATAATTTAATATAATTAAAATATATTTTAAGCCATAACATTTTTTTGGTCTACTTAAGGACTAACTAATTGATAAAAATAAATAATTATAATTATTATATGGTACATGAGAAAAGTGTTTGCAAGTTTTAACTAGGCTATGCAGAAGCACAAGCTGAGCCCAGTGATCGAATAAGAGAATTGAATGATAAAAGTTAATAGATTATGATCATCATATCTGTTTTTAGATCAGAAAATTCAAGGCTTTTAAATATCTTATTTATATTTATTTTTGAAAGATATTCGATTGTGTATTTTTTAAAGTAAATTTAAAAAT